TCCTCCTAACAGATGGACCCCGTGGTATAGACCCATATTGGAGCAGTTCTTGAAGAGCTGCTGCCCACATAGGATCAGTTCAGGAATGAGGGCATCCCACAGAAGGGATGCCACGTTGGAGCAGGGGCAGAGAGTGACCATGAAGGAGTGGCAGAAATGAAGCTTTAGGGACTGACTGCTGCCCCATTCCCTGTTTCCATGTACCACACAGGGAGAGGAGGTGGAAGAAGGTGGATGGGGGGAAGGTGTTTGCTTTTAGTTTCTCATTCTCTAGTCTGTTAGTGATAGGAATTTATACATGAATCTAAAAATATATTCAGACTGTGTTTCTTCTCATTTAGTTGATTACTTGTGAGTGTTCTTTGGCTGCTAGTATCAGTATGTTAGGAAGGCAACTATAAGCACTTTTAGAAGTGCCCTCAAGATTTTTTTTTCTACTTTTTCCATTTCTGAATCAATTAAGTGACTTTACTAATATGAATATTAATGTTAATGAATCTGAATATCTTGTAGTTCATGCTCAACAACCAAAGTCAGGATCTAATTGTTAACCAAGATTTTTATTTTTACTTTTTATTTTTAACAGGAGTAAGATGCATATATACATATTTATTCTTTGAGCATTCTCCTGGATTTTGCAGCTCATAATGATGTAGTTTATAAAGCTGATTTTTAAAATGTGTGAGGACATGGGTGAGGATGCTTAAAAGTTTGTTTTTTTGTTTGTTTGTTTGTTTGTTTTTGTTTCTTTGTTTGTTTGCTTTTGTTTTTTTTAAGATGACAATACTAGCAGGAAACTAAAACTGTTTCATGCAAACCTTCACAAGAGATGTTCCTTTATTACAGTCATATAGCGTGTTGGGATGTTCTCTGTCCTTGGAGGTTTTCAGAACCATTTGCACAAATGTCAGATCTGCCCCTGCTTTAAGCAAGGGGCACTTCCTGAAGTCACTTATGACTTGCCTGTGATCCTTTAATTTTATGAGAATTATGACTTTTCATTGTTTATTTCCAGATCATGCTGTAAAGTCACTCTCTAAAATCATACTATGATTCCATGATTCAGACTGAATGTAAGGATATGCCAAAAAAAAAAAAACCTCTTTAAATAATTTCATAAGCATTGATTTAAAGAGACATAATTCATGAAATAAGAAAAACTAAGGCTCTCCAGCACTTGATGGTTGAACAGAAGTACTATACTTAACACATAGGTGCAAAACCTGTATGGAATTCATAACTTTTACTTAGAATAAATAAATAAATATAAATATAAGATTAATCACACATTGTTTATTCTTGATGCAAATCCAAATTGCAGTTCCTTATATTTGGAATATATATGCACATCTTTAATTATCATTAGTTTTCTATCCTGTTCTCAATGTCCTAATACCTATTAGTTACTATGCTTGAGGGAAGTAAAATGTAATGCAATAATTGAATATTGTCATCATCTTGCCGGGTAATACTACTCTGTTTAAAGAAATGGTTTATGGGCTAATTACCCATTTGAAGTAAGAATACTCAGAGTGTTTACTGGATCATTTACTAAGGGCAACTAGGTTGGAAAGTTTCTGGTATGTGCTTCTTAAAATACTTTTTCTTAAAATAGACTTTGTTTCTGTTAAACCTCCTCTATTCCCAGATATGCAAAGAATTTCAGCTACCTATACTATGTGGGCAAAACAACTATATTATATAATGACAGTTAAGACTAGTCATAAGTTAATATGTACAGGCTTGTGTTTGGAAGGTATGTCATTATTTCAGTCTTTACAAATACATAATAAAGAATGCAGTCCAGCTGGAAGTCCAGCTGGAAGTGTATAGGGCTCTTCTGTTTGGTTAGTTGCTTGTTTATTTCATGTAGCCCTTTAAATCTAAAAAGCAAGATCTGACACTTTTAACACCTTGTAAGAGAGAAAGAATAGAATTTATGTAAAGTAATAGCACACAGTGCATCCTGAACAGTGAAAGTAATAGTTCATGGAACATTGGATCTGAAATACACACAAATTTTCTGGAAACACACAAAAAATAATTGAAAATGTATTGCAAATCGGGGAAGAGAAATAAGTAAGTTATTCAACTCATGGACCATTTCTTAGACTAGTCCTCTGGTATGACTACTCTGAATAAATACTCCCAGCTATAGTTACCATCAGAGACCAGTGATACCATCATGTTGTTGTCTTTTCAGAAATTCTGATGAAAGACTATCTGGCAAAAATAAGGAACTGTTAGTTTGTGAACTGAAACATTAAAATCAATGAGTCATGGAGGATTAGAGTTTTAAGGCTTCCAGGGTTGGCTATGACGAGGCTGACAACTGTGAATTAAAATGCAAAGAGACACTAGACCATTAAATTGTGAATCAGTGGACTGTGATTCTGATGGAAAGTCAAGAGAAAGAAAGGGATTGCAACTGAGTATCTACACAGATTTTAATGACATTTCAACTATATTTGCATTCCTAGTTATTTAATTAAAACTGAATGGACCAAAGTAAGCAATATTTCATTTTCTTTAGATTCATTCTCTACAGACAAGTACTACTAAGAATCTTTTTTATTACTTAATACAGGTATTTTTAAAAGTTCTTTATGTGATACACATGTATAGACACATATTAGGAGCCTTGTAACTACCACAGTAATGTGGAAAGGGCATGGACATTGTTCATGGACAACAGAGATGGAAAGTTTGGGCCTGACTGCAGCCCCTATTCCCCATTCCCTTGCATTGCGTGGGAGGAGGATGTAGAAGACAGTGCATGGGGGAAAGGTGTTTTTAGTTTGCTTTTAGTTTCTCACTGCTCTAGCTTGTTAGTAATATGTAATAAAGTGTATTAATCTCCCTGTGCTGAGTCTGTTTTGCCCATGACAATAATTGTTGAGTGATATCAATGTCCTTTTCTCAACCCTTGAGCCCTTTCCATCATATTTTCTCCCCCTTTCCCTTTGGGGCGGGGGACTGAGAGAGTAGTTATGTTGGAATTCGGCTGTCCAGGTGGGTAAAACCATCACACAGAGGTAAACAAAAGTAATCATATTTTTTAAAGATTTTTTTTTTTTTTAATGACAATTCCTGGTATGCTATATACTACCCTCCTGTAAATCATTATAGATACATTAAAATCAGTAAAAATTAATTATTTGTATTAACTTGGAATCCAGGCTGGTTTTATTTATTTATTTTTATGCAAAAATTTCAACAAATAACAGCAAATATTTCTTCATCAGTTTCTGATGAAATTATTCATATTTATTTTTTTTCCTACAGACTACTGCTTCTTAGAAAATGTCTTATCCTTATTGATACAGGAGTATTTTGCTTAGAAAAAAATGTCTTTAGAAACTTGTACCTGTAGGTAAAATGTGTGGATGAAGCTTTTTTTTCCTCTAACTCACAATGATTGATTTCATGATATCTGTAAATTACACTCATTATCTCCTATCTTTGTGTTCATAAGTGGATATTGCTATCCCAAGTGCACCAACTATTTAAATTGATTTGATCATTAAATCTTCTGGAAATTTTTACTTTATGAATTGAACAAAACCTTTTCTGTGAATGTTATCTATACTGGAAACTATTCTTCTATTAGTTAAATGAAAGATCTCAAGAAGAAAAAACATTTTGGGCTGCATGCTCGACTTTTATATTAAGCACTATTTCCCTTTTACATAAGAAATAGCAATACAAGGTGAAGTAACTGGAAAAAAAAAGTATTCGGTAGTTTTAAAAAATGTTTACAGTGTCCTGAAAGATTATTCTTCATAAAAATTAAACTAATATAAAATGAATAGGCTGCATACAAGTTAAATTTAAATAATCTGATCACATTTACGGGGAGTAGCTTCATACATGACTAGCAATGAGTAGTATAATCATATTTTGATCTACACCAGTTTCTTCTTGACACAAAAATTATTTACATGTGCTTCTTCTCTGCCATAAAAAAAGAAAACAAAGAATTATATTTTTTGGAACACCATTTTCCTTGCATCTGTTGCTTTGATTAAGCAAACAATCTAGGCATCTATGACTAAGGCCATTTGTGTTTAAGATAAACTTCTTTTTATGTAGTTTGTGAGTTGTGTTTAATAAGCAGTGTTCTCATCAATCACAGTTACTACACTTCAGAGACTGTAGCATGACATGATGCTACAATTTCTTATTGGTTAGAGAATTTATCTCTAAATGGCTTTATTTGATCCAGGCAACTAAACTGAGAGTTCCCACGTATGCTGCTTACTAGCTCATAAGTATTCAAAAAAGTTTCCTTCTTGTACAGTTCAAGATGCTAAAGTTGGTTCACTGTCCACAGAGCACCCTCAGGAATATAAGAGAAAGTTTGAAAGTTAAGCAACTGTAGTTAAGCAAACTTTCTTGCACTTTGCTTGACATATACATATATATATATATATATATAATATCATTATTATTATTTTCCACAACATTTGTGCAATTCTCCTAGTACCTATATAATATTGTTTTGAGTACACTGACAAGTTTTTTTTTGTTTGTTTGTTTGTTTTTGTGAGATTTGTTTGCTAATAGTCTGCTTGAAGACTGCCCGCCCACTCCTGAGAAAATTATAGGCATTTATTTTAAATGCCTAAACTTAGTCAAATGAGATTTCTTTATGGAGGTTTATGAAAGGTTTCTGTGTTTTACTAGAATCCTATGGAACACAGGCAACTTATTTAGAAGGATGAACATCCAGGAAAAGATGAAGTGCCTAAGTCAGGCTGACTTGAACTCCATCTACATTAGGTATATGTTTGTGTGTTTGTTCAGATTGCCTATTACATATATAAATATAAAGGGAATTTATATTTACACTGATAATGTTTAAAATTCTAAAGAACCATGAAGTTTTCAAGGTTCCTTTTTTATTTATTTTTTTAATTTATTACTTTTTTTACATTAGCTTCCTAGGAATCATATAACTCTTCTGAAATAGCTGATTTATTTAAGTTTAATAATTTAAATTTAATAATTAAATTATTTATTAAATGCCAAATATTTGGCATTTTTGTTTGTGTTTGTAACTTCAATCAATATTCTATTTTATTATTTATTAGGCATATATAGCAAGGTGTGGGCAGCTGCAGGTTGCAGGATGGCCTGTGTGAGGAAAGACTGTGGCTGCCCTGTGACAGATGCAGCTGGTCCCAGCCATATTCAATAGACCCATTGCAGGGAACGTCTGAGTCCGGCAACCACCCTGGTGGTTCATCTGGGAAAACATTTAAGAAAGGGTTAAACCATTGCACAGGACTGATGTGTGAAGTAAAGCATGTGAGAAATAGCACTAAAAAAAACACCTGACAGACATCCGACCTTCTGAGAAGAGGTGCTCCAGGTGTCAAAGCAGAGTCGTCTATGGACCATGTAGTCCATAGAGTGGAGAACACAAGAACAGATATACATACTGCAGAACACTCCGGAGCAGTTTATTTAGAACTGCAGCCAATGGAGAGGACACATACTAGAACAGGGAAAAAATGTGAGGAGGAAGGAGCGGCAGAGAAAACAGGTGTGGACTGACCACAACCCCCAAATTCCCATCACCTGTGTCTCTTGGCAGCAGGTTAATAGAGGAGTCAGGAATAACAGAGTGAAGTTGAGTGAGTTGAATGCGTGTGTGTAGAGGAAAAAGTCTTTTAGTTTCATCTTAGTTACTCACCATCTGAAACTATTTTAATTAATTGGTACTAAATTTATTTTCCCCATGCCAAGTCTGTTTTGTCACCAGTAGGTGGTGAGAAGTCTCCTTATTTTTGTTTTGACCCATGATCCTTTTCATCTTATTTTCTTCAACTGTCTTGTTGAGGGGAGGGAGTGAGAGAGTGCCTAGATGGGGTTCTAGCACCAGATCTAAGTTAATCTATCGTATATTTCAATCTCTATTTAATGTAGCTTTTAGTACAACTTAAATTGTTATGTACAACTTAAATTGTTAAATCTATGTCAAGAATTTAACACTTTATGTCTGGGTTTAGCACATCGCTGCTTAGACATTCAAATATAGGTCCCAGCTCTTAGAGGAGACACAGAGATGTTCACATGATCCATCATGTTTCAAGTGATCTGAATCACACTGGAGCACTCTGTTGTGTAAACTTTGGATTCCTCCTGTTAGTAGTACCTCCAATAATTACTGGTAGGGAATTGTAATTACTTGAAATTAAACTATATCTATATAAAGATATAGATATAGATAGATGATTTGACATATATGTAGATATAAATAGGTATAGATGATATAGATATAGATTACTGTTTACATTCTCCTAGGGGACTTACATTCTCATAGTACTGTAATGCCTCAGGTCCCACTGTATAGATCAGGTCTGTGGCCCAACTTTATGGTGTTTGAAGTGATACACATATAAAGAGCATATTAAAACCTTCATGTCTCATCTTGTTAAGGTGGGAAAACTAAGTTCTAGAGAAGCAGAAGAGGTGAAATAGATATAATAATTAAATGCTTGAATTCAGAAGGAACCTCTGGAGAGGACTAATTAATTGCTCAAAGCAGGGTCACTTTTAGCAGGTTGCTCAGGTCTATTTTTAAATCAAGTTTAGAATGTCTCCAACAATGGAGTGTCTCTCTGGACAACCTGTTTCAGTGTTCAATCATCCTTCTATTAAGAAAGATGTATTTATTTATCTATCTTTTGTTAGAATTTCTTGTATTTATTTGTCAAACTGGTTTGATAATGCATGTTGTGTCAGATTTTTTTGTAAGTATTTGTTTCTGAATAATTGGATAAATGTTTGTGTATCCTTTTAAGCAGTACAAGTGGCCATCAATAATACAATGCCATCTGTACTATTATTTGTGATTCCTGTGTTATAATACTGATGGTGATTTATATCCTTCAAAATAGAGAAACTTAATAATGAATATGCCCAAGCGTGCAATTCATGAATAGTTAGACTGAAATATGTAACAAAAGTAACAAATATCTACAAATAACAAATAACTCTCAGAAATCCAGTCTAGATAGTCACCAAAACTTTTAAATTATAACATTAATAAAAGTATTGTTTATAAAAAGACTTGCCCTTTACAACTTCCCTTTCGAGTGGACATTTGTTGCCCTGAAAAACAACAAATAATTTATTTCATTTTTAATCATGCTGAGCCTAAAAAGAAATTATTTACCCGTGAACAAGCCTCAGCTGACTTCCTCAAATTATGGCAAGAAAAATTAGTTTTGAAGAATATGGAAATCCAAACTCACTTTAGAAAGATTTTTTCTCTTTTCTATTGCTCACTTCTTGAAACATAGTTTTGATTGTAAATGCAAATACATAGTGAATTTTTAATGTTTGTAATTGCACTATGACCTAAGGAACATGTGTAGAGATATGGTATTCTGTAAAAAAAAAAAAAAAAAAAAAAAAATTGTTTAAAGCCTAAATGTCTATTTTCAATATCCCAACATGCAGCCCTGTAGCTCATGATATTGAACAAATAGATATGGTCTGAATAAAACTTTTTGGAAAGTTTTCTTATTCTAATGCTTGGATTCTGATATAAATATGTAAATGAGGGAAAGTCTATGAGGTAGCTCATTAATGTAGGGCACCTATTATTTTATAAACTTTAAATCAGTTATTATTTTTAAAATATCAGTTCCAATTCTGTGTATTGTTATATGGTCAGTCACAGAACATTTAACAGCATCCTTTCTGTGATTCAGGAACAAAAATTCTCAGTCCTGTACTGGAATTCACAGAATCATAGAACTGTAGGAGTTGGAAGGGACCTCGAAAGATCATCGGGTCCTGCCAAAGCAGGTTCCTCTGTGCAGGCTGCCCAGGTAGGCGTCCAGACAGGCCTTGAATATTTCCAGAGAAGGAGACTCCATAACCTGTGGAACAGGCAGCCTGTTTCAATGTTCCGTCACCCTATATCAGATATATATCACCCTCTACAGATATATATCTGTAATAAGCTTTTATTATTATTATTATTTTTTTTATTATTATTAATATTTTTTTTTTTATCTGAGGCTTAGTAGAACGTTTCAAGTACTTAACTACATATTTTAAATGTATGCCATATTGTCTCAAAGACCTTTTCAGTTTTCAGCAAGTCATCAGTGACTAGTTTGGGGAGAAAAATTTACTTTCTACAGTTAAGCCAGGGATGAGCAAAAGTAAACCTGTGCAAATTGTAATGCTGTGTCTATAATATCAAGCTTGTCACACAAGACCTGAAGAAAGCTGACTTGTAGAGATGAACAAGTAGGAACTTACTGAAAAGGATCGAAACATCTGAAGTGTCATTTTGTCTAAAATAAGAAAATGGTTTGTTAGAATGTGTCCAGGAAGGCTTTATCATGCTTATCTTCTGTGATACGTTACTCTTTCTCTTTTCAGTGGTGTCCAATGACAGGACAAAACATAATTGGGCACAGACTGAAACACAAAATATTCCAGAAATCTCTTTTTTTACTCTATGGGTACCAAACCACTAGCATAGGTTACTCAGAGAGTTTATGGAGTCTCCCTCCTTGGAGATCTTCAAAAGCCACCTGGACACGGTCCTAGGCAACTTGCTCTAGGAGTCCTTGCTCGAGCAGGAAAGCTGGACCAGACGACCTCCAGAGTCCCTTCCAATCTCAACCAGTCTGTGATTCTGTGAACACACTTAGTGTTACTATATTTGTCATATACAATACTCTTAAGTAAGACAATATTTGTACAAATGTTCAGATAAAATCTGAGGAGGCTCTCTACAAGAATGATTTAAAGATTTGGGTAGCTACTTTTTATTATTTTTATTTATTCATTTACTTTGTGCAGGTGCAAATAGTATATTTGTGAGTGTTTTGTTTATTTGTTTGTTTATATCAGAGGATAGCGATACTTGCTTTTTGTTGTTCTGTGGAATAGAACTAAGATAGAAAAGGTTCATCTTCCTTCTCAAAGTTGAAATATCCTTTCTGTGATTCAAGAACAAAAATTCTCAGTCCTGTACTGGAATTCACAGAATCACAGAACTGTAGGGGTTGGAAGGGACCTCGAAAGATCATCGGGTCCAACCCCCCTGCCAAAGCAGGTTCCTCTGTGCAGGCTGCCCAGGCAGGCGTCCAGACAGGCCTTGAATATCTCCAGAGAAGGAGACTCCACAACGTCCCTAGGCAGCCTGTTCCAATGCTCCATCACCCTCACCATGAAGAAGTTCTTTCGCATGTCAGTGCGGAACTTCCTGTGCTCTAACTTGCAGCCATTGCCCCTTGTCCTATCCCCACAGACCACTGAGAAGAGGTTGGCTACATCCTTCTGTCCCCCACCCCTCAGATATTTATATACACTGAGGAGATCCCCTCTCAGTCTTCTCTTCTCCAGGCTGAACAGGTCTCTCAGCCTTTCCTCATAGGGAAGATGCTCCAGGCCCCGTATCTTCTTTGTGGCCCTCTGCTGGACTCTTTCCAGGAGATCCCTGTGTTTCTTGTACCAGGGAGCTCAGAACTGGACACAGTACTCCAGGTGAGACCTGACCAGGGCAGAGTAGAGGGGGAGGATCAATCACCTCCCTTGACCTGCTGGCCATGCTCCTTTTAATGCATGCCAGGATCCCATTAGCCCTCTTGGCCACAAGGGCACAGTGCTGGCTCTGGTTCTGTCATCCACCAGAACCCCCAGGTCCTTCTCCTCGGAGCTCCTCTCCAGCAGGTCGTCCCCCAGCCTGTACTAATACTTCAGGTTGTTCCTTCCCAGGTGCAGGACTCTATGCTTGCTCTTATTAAATCTCATTTGGTTTCTTCCTGCCCATCTCTCCAGCCGGTCCAGGTCTCGCTGAATGGCAGCACAGCCTTCTGGCGTGTCAGCCACTCCTCCCAGCTTTGTGTCATCGGTGTACTTGCTGAGGGCAGACACTATTCCCTCATCAAGGTCGTCAATGAAGATGTTGAACAAGACTGGACCCAGCACCAATCCCTGGGGAACACCGCTAATCACAGGCCAAATCAATCCTTTTCTTTTGTCCTTGGCACCTTTTTCTTCAAATTTTGCTCCTAGGTTGCAATATTGGAAGACAATAAAGTCAATAAAGACTGAGGCAATGAGAGGATCTGTTTTCAGCTAGCTAACAAAAGGTGCTAGAAAACAGAACCATATTATTTTTAGATGTTCACAGTGACAAAGTAAAAGCCAATAGACACAAGTTGTCACACAGAAAATGCTGTTCAGACTTCAGAAAAAAAATCTTCATGATAAAGATGATTAAGCATTGAAACAGATTACCCATGCAAGATGTGCATGGCATCTCAAAAAATCTGATTTTGAAGTTACCCCTGCTTTGAGTGGGAGAGATTAGAACACACGGATGACTGTGTCACGTCATCTGAGTGAGAACTATACTCATACACTATCACATAAAGATAAATGTAATAGTCTCCCCCAAGCCCAGAATGAACTTGTAAAAGGTGAAAAATTGGCCTAGGATTTTTCATTCTGTCACATT